GGGGAGGTGTGAATGTGTTATGCGAGAAGCACCTTCTTCCCTTTTTTTCCACCATCTTCTTTTTTTTTCCCTTTTTCTTTTTATTTAAAAAGAAAAAGAAAAGAAGAAGAGGGGGAAAATTTCTTTTAATTAAAAGAATTCGAGATTTTTCTTTCGAAATTCGTGGCGTCGTTTAGAGTTTTTTCCTTTTCTTTTGGGTGCGCGTTAAGGGACCCCCCCCCGCCCCCACAAGGGAGAGGCCCGCGACGCACCGGATCCCCGCCCGTTCGATCCTCCCCGGGGGTGGGCCCGGGGAAATACCGAAAACGCCCTCGGGTTGGCGCCGGAATTGCGGCGCTGCCACCGGAGCGTGAAGGAGACTTGCGGAGCGGGGGGAGGGATCGCCTGCTGCGCGGAGAGAGAGAGAGAGAGAGAGCATGGGGGAGGACTGGAGGAGGGAGTTCCTGGGCGTGTTCCTCTCTCCTCTTATCCTACGGCTCGCTACCTCTTCTTCTTCTTCTTCTTCTTCTTCTTTTTTTTTTCGGGTTGAGGCGGCACCGCGTCGACCGCCACGTGTCCGTCGGCCGACCCTCGCGAGCGCCTTGCTGTGCAAGGAAAAAAAAAAAAGACGAGATTTTCTCCTTCTTTTTCTTTTTCTTTTTCTTTTTTTTGGGGGGCTGGAAGGAAGGAAGGAAGGAAGGAGGGAGAGAAAATTGGAATTGGAATTTGGTGGAGAATTTTGAGGGAATTGGAGAGGTGACGTGGAGGGATTCAAATCCAACGCTAAAAGCAAAATGGAATTTTTTTTCCCCCCCCCCCCCCCCGTGGGGAAGGGGACAAGGAGTCTCTTTCTCGTTTGGGACAAAGAGTACGCACGATCGAGGGTGGGGGGCAATGTCAATGGTCTTTTCCCATTTTAACGAAGGTATTTTGCCTCCTCCTCCTTTCTTCTTTTCTCTTCTTCTTCTTTTCTCTTCTTCTTCTTTTTTTCGCCTTCTGTCGGGGGTGATACGAGATGACCGGCCCGAATCGCGTCGTCGGTCGATACGATGCGGTTAACAACAGGGAATTCCGCGTGCGTGCGGACCGGATCGTATCGGGACCTCGCCGGAACCTTTCGCGTCGATGAGCGCGCCGTGCTCGGCGTGGTCGATTTAGAAAAGGAAAGGGCGGCGGGGCTAGCTATGTCGTAAGGCCGCGTTTGGTCGTCCGGATTTCTAAATAGGATAGGGCTGGATAGGATAGGATAAGGAATCCTGAGATTTCTTCATATCCTGTCCACTGTTTGGTGGACTACGGATTTAAAGTCGGATAGGATAATTTTTATTTTTATTTTTTGCTGTTCATGGGTCCGGAGGAGTCAGTGAAGGAAAAAAAGCCGAGAAATTTTTTTGGTGAAAGCGCACAAGGTGTGAGGATGAAGATGACGGCGAGTGGAGTGTAGGGTTTCTGGAAAAATAGGCATTAGAAATCCTATCCGGGTCTATCCCACCCCCTCCCTCGGATTTTTTTATCCGGGCTATATCCGGTCTATATCCGACCTCGTACTATCATGGACCACCGCCAAACATGGGATAGGATAAAACATATCATATCCTGATTTTTATCCGGTCGACCAAACGCAGCGTAAGAGGAAAGGAGAAGAAATGATTTGTAACTATCTATTTTAATTGGACTCCACGGATGAGTTCTTTATTTTAACGTGTCTGTCCTAGGGAGAGAGAATACCCTACTGAAGTTTTACGTCCCAGTGATCCCGAAATCCGGACGAGAACCAAGGTGAGGCTTTTCAGGGACATGCTCAGATCTAAACAAAAGGATTTATAGCGATCGGTTATGATTTTATTCGAATGCTAAAAAAATAAATTGTAACATATATGTGTGCGTGTTTTGATTTGTTTAACAAGAGATATAAAAAAAAAAATTACGGTATGTATCGGCGAAAAAAATTATCTATCGATACACGAGTCCCTCCTAATTTGTACTTTATCTGGACAAATTCAAAGGGTTTTAAGTACCGCGTGAAAAATGACCTCATCGATCCTTCTTAATTTATTCTAATCCCTTCCTAATCTTTTGCCTACGCCCAAATATTTTTTGACAATTATTTCTCTTTCGCTCCCAATCCTTCCCACCAACCCATGGGCATTGGATAAGGTTCCTTAGAGCTCAAGGAATTGGAAGAGTCTTCTGTGCTTATTGCTTCGTCCCGGATAAGAAGAAGATCGACGCGATTTCAACACGGCCAGCCTTAATTTTGCAATCTATAAACCGGCCCCCCCGACCCGAGAAATCGACATGCTAAGATTCGAGGGTCGTGGTTTTCATATCTCCGGTACAGAATTCGAGCATTGTACGTTATGGTTAAAGTCGTGACGTGGCAATGCACGGGACTAGTCGAATTCTCATTGATTTGTATTATATCGAGAGTTCGAAAGGATTCAAATGAAACCACCTAAAAAAAAGTGGAAACCAACTTGGTGTCTAATTGGAATCGCTACGAATTGGCAACATAAAGTGAGTTTAGTAGCCACTTTTTTTCTTCACACGGGACCTGTCCTTCGTCTTATGCTCTCGCCCCGAAAGGAAAATTCCTTTCCCATTATGGATTAGGGTTTGCTTTCCAACTTCGTTTTATTCGGATGTTCTTCTTCGAGATGTTCTCGTGCTTGGAGCGGATCTTGCAAGAGGGATTGGAATTCTGCGGGGCACGTGTGAATTGAGATTTTTTGGTTCGAGATGTGTTTGCGCACACGTTAATACGGGCGTCGAGCCGACGCGTTAGATGACGGCACGTGTCGCCGGGATCCACGGAGGACCCTTGGACCTACGAACCCCGACGGGAAAACCCTGTGTTCGACGAACTCGATGGGGAATCCTCAGGAGGACCCATGAGCCCGACGGGTAACCCAACGGGAATCCTCGATGCGATTGCACCCGACGGGGGCAATTCCTCGTCGTCGCGATAGTCATTTAGAACCTCGAGGCCGATGGGCAATGCGCCTTTCCGATTAACCCTCTGGAGAACCTCCTTCTATAGGACACCATTCCAATTGGCCAATTAGAGGTTGCGTAACCATTAGCGTCACACGGAAAACCCTCGTTGTACCATCTCGGACGGTCCTGCGCTCTACTCCGACGTAACATCAACTCAGCCGCGAAACGGGTGGGCACCGCACAATGGCCAATCCCACTAGCCTTCTCCTTGGCCATCTTGTTATCTCTTTGCGCGGGTCGGATTCGAGTTCCCGAATCTCGACCCGACCGGGGCGAGCCAAACTTGCGGATTTAATAGTATCGATCTTTAAATGTCTCACCTGCGAAAAGTTCCATATAAAAGTTCCAATCTTTTAATTACCTGCTCAATAATAATTAAGCAAGAATACTAGAACAGCCCATGACGCAGCATCAAGTCGAAATCAATAAAGCTATGTAAAACTTTTGAATTCATCTTTATCGAAATCCGATTGATGATGGGCCGAGCAATTCAAATGGCGGATTCCGATGCGATAGAAAGTTCATTTTTCGTGTCACGTTTTTTCACCTAAAGCGACCCTTTGAGACCATGTCGCTTCTTAAGGATGATAATCTTACCCCAAGATGATGCTGCACGCGGTTGTCTGAATCTTTTCGATCAACTATAGTTCCCTAGTTGACATGATCGTTGTCTGAACTTTGTGGTACGCGTGCGAGTCGTATTAGAAGACTTCCGCGCTGGGAGATTTGGTGTGATGTGGTGCGGATCATTTAGTATATCGTGTTTAGCCGATAACTCGATAATAAATTTTTAAGTGAATGCGAGTTCAACAATGATATATTTATATGGCGGAAAATGAATGATTTGGAAAACATTATTCTAAAAGATGATTAATTGTATCGCTTACAAAAATGAGTAAACGGAAAAATATTTTCATCATTCACAAAATATTAAAAAAGTATATCATAAATGGTTATAGTACTTCGCATGAAATATTGATTTTTTTTAAAAAGAGAGAAAATTTCAAATAAAAACCCGAAATGCTCTCATTTTTTCAAATAAGGACTTGAAGTGGACTTTGTGTTAAATAAGGGCATGAAGTGGACTTATGTTCTCAAATAAGGGCCTAAAGTGGTTATAACAGTTTCAAATAGAGGTCTCACTCCTCCGGTTAGCCAAATTTTCCGACTAACCAAAGGCATTTTCGTCCAAAAAAAATTTTAACATAAATTTTAGTTAAATTAGATTTAAAATTAAAAAAAGTTTTAAAAAAAAACAGGGGGCAAGGTTGGCAGCCAGCCCTCCCCGCCTGTGGTCGTTGCCCCATCACCAGTGGGGCGGTAGCGATGGCCAACAAGGTCGCTAGACCTTGCCTTGGTTTGGAAGAGGGCCGCTAGACCTCGCACAGGGCCGGCGGCCCTCCCCCAGACTTGGGTGAGAGCTACCGACCCTCGCTAGAGCCGAGAAAGGGTAGTAATCCTCTCCTAGCGGTGACCCTCACCCAGATCTAGGAGAGGGTCGCCGCCCTCTCCCAGCTCTGGCCCTCGCCTCTGGCCGCCGACCCTCGCTGAGGCGCTGGCAACCCCGTCGACCATCGTCATCGCCCCTCCGCCCATCGTCACCGCCTCACCGGCGATGAGGCAGCGGGGCTAGCCTCTCCCCTTGTTTTTTTTTTTTAAACTTTAGCTTTTTTTTCATTTTTTCATTTTTTGTGGAAAAAATTGAAAACGAAAAAAAAATCAAAAAAATTAAAAGACGAAAATGCCCTTGACTTCGGTGAGTTGATGCCCTTTTTTTAGATTGAGATAGTCACTTCAAATCCTTATTTGAGACAAGGTTCACTTCAGACATTTATTTGAGAAAATGATTACACTTTGGGTTCTTATTTGACACATGATTCACTTTAGGGCTCTATTCGAGAAAATAAGAACATTTCGGGTATTTATTTTGAATTTTCCCAAAAAAAAAAAAGAGATTTTAGGTGATTATCAACGAGTCAAAAAAGAAAAATATAAAAAAAAAAAATTAGGCATAACTTCTTCACCACCACTCCTCCCCCAGTCTGCCACGGTAAGCGAGTGAAAGAAGGAAGGAAAGGAAGAAGCGAAAGCTGTATCGGAACCCGCTCGTCTCGCTCCGAACCTCGCGGCGAGATCCTCCGATCGCCGCCGCCGTCCTCCTCCGATGGCCGCCGTATACAGCCTCTTCATCATCAACAAATCCGGAGGCTTAATCTTCTACAAGGTACCGCTCCCCCACGTCCCCCTCCCTCCTCCTCCTCCTCCTCCGATGATGATGACGACGATGACGACGACGACGAACCTTCGCAATCCGAAGATGACGCTTCGAATCTGTGGTGTTTAGGATTACGGATCTGCGGGGAGGATGGACACGAACGACAGCCTGAGGGTGGCGAGCCTGTGGCACTCGATGCACGCCATCTCCCAGCAGCTCTCCCCGACCGTCGGATGCTCCGGGATCGAGCTCCTCGAGGCCGACACCTTCGATCTCCACTGCTTCCAGTCCCTTACTGGTGAGGATCTTGCGCTGTGAGATTCTTTGTTGTCTTACATTTCTTTCTTGGCGCTCATTTTGGGGTGTGTTGGTCATGTCGTTGGTTGATCTAGCAAGCGAAAATGCATGTAGTTGTCCGTTAAATTGAAGGTTGTTTCTGCAAACGCTGGAAGAACAAGTGGGTCAATCTTTTCTGCTTGTTTGAAGAATTGCTAGTTATTGCAGTTCCAATAGGGGAGGTAGACAGTTTGTGCAATGTCCGGACTTGAACCGGTAATTATTCGATTTCCCAACACTCTGAATTCGCGGGTGCGCTTTAATTTTAGAGTGATTTAATTACCGATTTAGTCGCAATATGCAGATTTGCCATTGTGGAGATGATCTTCTGGTGTCCTATCATTGTCCCCTTTCGGATCATTTTGTTAACCTGCAAGGTTGGTTTTACAGACGTTTGCCCGTCGCTGTGCGTGCGAAAAAGAAGTAGAAATGGAACAGAGATGGTGAGATGTCGCTCGATAAGAAAATGTATCCGATTCTCCATGGATGTTGTTGGCAACACATTTTTGTCAATGAATTGTGATTCCTTTTTTTCTTCCCAGTTGACCTTCGTGCTGTTTTTGATTATTGAATGAACATGATCAAATCTTGGTCAAGAAGTTGTTGCTTGGATAGGACCAAGTTTTATAATAAGCTGGCTTTTTCGGAGTACATCGTCACTAGTTACCTGTCCCAGTCGTCAGCTTTAGTTTCGACCCTTGCAATAAGATATGGTAACATAGGGCACATTCCAGATTCTTTTAACGATGTTGGCAACTTGGAGTGTTGGGGACTACGCTTTTCTAGTAACTTGATTGTATCTTAAGCTTGAGGAGTCGTGGAAATTTAGTAGGCCTTGCAAGGAGGTACATCTATACTATTTCTGTTACCTTCATTTAGCATGTAAACAGTAACAGTCTGTAGCATTCTCTCGACCCTTTTGGGATGTGTTGCTTGGGTCAAGCACGATATGGACCTTGCAGTTGCCATTGAGATTGAATTTTTGTATTGAAATGTTTGTGCATGTGAAAGCGAAAATGACATGTGGTTTCAGCTGTTGAGCTCTCACATGGAATGAGATTGGTCTCTACCATGATTTACGAGCTTCCATTTTTTCCACTGAAGTTAATGCCGTAAGAATGTTCCCCTTTCAGGATATGAGTTTTTCTTAAGATCCTTTGATGCTTTCGACAAAAAGGGGAAAACCCTGCAACTTTTTGAATCTTAGATGCGCATAGGCTGAGTAGATGTTGGGCCGTCTTCTGAACAGTCAAATGTTAGGCAAGATATGTATTTCACCTCCATCATTTAGGATTGGTCGATCAGCTTTAAGATTGATTAGAGTGGGTTAATCTATCCCCTTCTGTTCCTTCCTATTAAGAATTGTTGACGGCCAGTGAGGGCCCTCCTTGTTCCTTATGGTATAGGTATTAACAGTGCTAGCTAATGTGTTCTCTCCAGTGACTGGCCGAAGAGAGGCGTCCTCTGTGGTTCAAACCTGTAGATTATCTGATACAAGTGCTGCTTCTGTTGTGCTTGTGCAGGGACGAAGTTTTTTGTCGTCTGTGAGCCTGGGACTCAGCATATGGAGGCTCTGTTGAAAGTCATCTACGAGCTGTACACGGACTATGTTCTGAAGAATCCCTTTTACGAGATGGAGATGCCAATTCGGTGCGAGCTCTTTGATCTCAACCTGTCACAGGCAGTGCAGAAAGATCGCGTGGCATTGTTGGGAAGATAGTGCGCTTAGTTTTCCCTTTTCTGGCAGAAAAAAGATAGCGTGCTTAGTTCATAGTTGATCTCTTTCTTCTTGAATGAAATTATATCTGAAGCATTGTGGTTGTGGTTAGCTTGATGAGAAGCATGTGCTCGGCTTAGCAAGAAATCTTTCTAACTAATTACGTCGGCGAGGACGGGTAACGATTTTCCTTGTTGAGAGACTCGAGACGAGGCCAAACGTGAGCATTGTAAATTGTTGGCTTTTTGCAAAAGCTTGCATTTTAATTGAAGTTTTTCACCTGTAAATTCAGATTGACAGAGCACAATCACAACTAAACCGAGAGTAGTTATTGCAATTTGGTAAAATTCAGAGGTTGACAACAGTACGTCTAGGCTTCCCCTTCTTCCAAAAGAATGCTGTAGAATTCTGAATATTTTGCGTCATTATAAGGATGGATTCGATAATTTATAATATTTGACAGGCGTAGATTTTTACTTCTCCTAGCCCATGACGTCCCAATCCGATTTGTTTGTGCTGATGCTCTGCTTGGTTCGTAGAAAATTCGTAATTTGGATAAAAAATTTCCGAATTATGGTCATTTCTATCTCTTACGAAAAAAAATTTAAAAAAAAAGTCTTTATTAATCCCAGTTTATGTCTAAATATTTATGTTTATAAGGAAAATACTTGCCATGGCAATAGGAAAGGTGAAAATTAGTATAAAAAAATAAAACTAAATGGTCGATTTTCTGCCAAAAAAATAAAAAGACAAATCGAGTAGGATTTTCACATTTTCCTAGTTTCATGCGTTATGTAACTTGATCGTCTTTTGTCCGTAACTTCCAAACCCCATTAGTTCATTCTCCCACAGGGCTGCGTTACTTTGTTCCTACCCATTACAATCGCCTTTCAAGTGTGAACTCAAAAGAGTGTTAGAAGTTCCAGCGAAAGAAATGGACATATTCTCTCGCCTTTCATCGCCACTTCAATTCTGTTATGTTCAGAGTTAGGCCCAAGCATATGCATAACTTTCTAAAGCAGATGAATCTTCCTAGGTGCAACGGAAATCGGTGCCCTGAACATGTCATTTTTCTGATAGCCAACATCTACAATCTGTTCATAATCAAGAAACGAAAGTATATTGAGCCCATTGTTGCGACACCGAAAGATTCTAACCCGAATGTTATCAGATGGAGTCTTGCTCCGGAATGCCACAGCATCCAATAAATTAAAACCTTGTGACAAAAATTGTTAGTTGAGATTACAAACCAGTTACACTCCACAGTTCCTTTCAACGGCTACATCTTAAACAATCTTTTACCTCGAGCCAAAGGCTGCTGCCCGATAGGAAATCAAGCAAGTCGGGATCAGACTTCCCTACCACGTTCACATGTGGGAACATTGATTTTTCATCTGTGCTGCAGCAACAACGAAAACTGCTCGGGGAAGGCACCCCGCAAAGTCGAAACGAGTTGAGGTGGCAACACCTGCGCTTTCAGGAGAACTTCTCGATGTCTTTCTATCAATGAGAAGACGAGTTGTTGGGTATCAACCTCCTCCAGAACGCCTATGTCGTATCATACAGACGAAAATCGATTAGCAAGATTATCACAAAGTTTATCCCGAGCATGAAAATTGTTAAACAGGAAAACTAACACCCCACGTACAAATCATTCCTCAGGTTAACCTTATGGTCACAATTCTTTGTACAGGCAACCACACCTCAAAGGTCAAAACTCGTTCCATTGAAATAATCAAAACATTTGCACACAACAGACGTCGCATTGTGCAACAAAAACCGTACTGGAATTTTTCCCAAAAAATATCTGAGGCAGTTTCTCCGAGTGCAATCTGAATTGTATGCAACCTGAGGGAGGGGCAAGAACTAATATGCCTGCACTTGGCTGCCTCGCATACCACTTGCTTGCCAATCAACTAGATTTAGGAAGATGTTGGAGACAGATGTTATGGGCTTAAAAAGTCCACTAGGCCCCTTAGCAAACCCTCCGTACCTATTCTTGGTCTAAACAAGCTAACTCACAAACCTTGAAGTTGATAGTACCTCCAAAAGAAGGCCTCAGAAAGCAGCCATCGAGAGCAATATGAAGATTCTACTTTATGGCTATCTAACAACCGCATGAGAGTTCTTAAGCTTGTGATTATGATGAAAGAGTGGATGCTACATCTCATCCAATTCAAATGTATGATAGTGGAATTCCATTGCAAGTGATTTAGACAATCAGGGTTGTGAAACATTTCAAGCAGATCAAGTTTCTAACTAAAACCATGAGTGTTTTTGCACAGCTTACAAGTAGAACACAGAACTTACCCAAATCAAGCTCAAGGTCTTCATTTTCGATGTCTCCCTCTTCAACGGCAATACTATCTTCAAGATCAATCGCAGCTTTGGCATATCTTTCCAGAAATTCTTCTTGAGTTTCTTCATGCTCATCATCATCCGAATCCTGGTACAATTTAGACACAGCTTATGGAGAAGGAAGCATTCTCTGAATAAATTTAGATAAAAAAAATTCAAGTAACCCTTTAGCCAAGTAGAATTTTCATGTTATATAGTCCTCTCATAGATTATGCTGCTCTGTAAAACTTAAGTTGTAACAGTTGTGATTCAACTGGTTCAACATTGGTCCCAAGAAAAAAGCCCTGTTCAAACAATTGAACATGCTATCCAATCTTGCATCAGTTATAAAGTCTCTGGAACTTAAATAAATAGTTATTTATTCTTTCAAGCAGCTTGAACCATAACTTATACAAGAAGACATGTCACCCAGCTGGAAACAGGTGCGAGCTATGTATTTTCTCTCCAAACTATCTCCACCATCAGTTCTCAAAACTATCTCCTAAAGCCAGAGAGCTCAAATGTTTCGAGAGGATAACCTGTTAGTTTTATTGTCAATTGCATCATGATGCTTCGTATATTGACCCAGGACCCTAATATGAATTGCAGCTTTAAACCATAGCTCTCTCTGCCAGTCTAATTAGTTAAAAAAGCATCACTAACATCAAGACACATATACGACCAACAATTCTCAAAGGGATCTACAGATACTGGATGAATTGTTATGACAGCTGACATTGGATAAGATCCCACTACTCTTATGCTTTGGACTTAAGAACCATCATTGCTAACTTTTCCAGAAGATTTTTTTCTTCTTTTCATTAGTAAGAAGAGAACCAGTAAACGAGCTGACCTCATAATCAGTTTCCTCTTCATCTTCATCACCACTTTCTTCTTGTACCTCGTCTTCTTCTTCTTCTTCCTCCTCCTCCACATTGTCCTCAACTTCTTTCAATTTTGCTGTTGCCTCTAGCAGTGAAGAGAAGCATTCACGACCTAAACCAGATGCAAAATTTCCTTGTTCTAACAACCTCTCAATCACCTCCACCAGCGCCCTTACTGCACAGTACCAAAAAGTCTGAATGACCTAATCGTTTCAACTTAGGTAATGGATGTATCTACAAAACAGAACTGAAAGACCAAAAAATCTTTATGGCATGATTTTTCGTAAAACAATTCAAGGATTATACTTCATAGTGACATAACCATGCTATGCATGGGCTTGCTATGTATGGGATAACTTTCTTATAGATATGACTGATTTTATACAGTTATGAGCAAGAGTTACAAGAGGAACTTTATACACTTTACATATCCATTGTTTATATTTTTCATTTGACGTGATTTTCATAAAAAATTTCGCTTAGTTTTAAATTTAACCTAACATATTTCTTGACATTTTATTTTTATATATATATCACTAGTTATTTTCACTGATTTATCGATATCTTTGTATTTAGCTTTATCTTATGAAAATTATAACATTATTATTTTCTCTCATCAATCAATCTATTCAATTAAAAATAAAGTCGAATTGGCATTTTATACTTTCTAAGAGTTAACAGTAAAAGTCTCTGTTTATTTAAAATCCTCCCAATAATGAAGCGCATTAATCAAGGTTGGCACAAAAGAAATATCAATATCTTCCATTTTAACTCCAGGTGAATGATGAGCCAATATCTTAAGGATGAAAAAGAATCAATTTGACTTCTGCCTGAGGATTCAAGGGTGCTACTGAGTACTGACCACATAACTTAATCTCGGATTCTCCTGATAGATGAATCGTACAAGAAGGGGAGGCAACCAAACATAATGCTGATACCCAGGCTGCAAAGCCACCATCTTGATTCCTTGTCAATATCTCCTCCACAGTATCAGGAAAACACAAATGGCATGATGCAATAACAAGCAACAAAGACTTCCACTGTGGAGAGGGCTGCTTGCGTTGAATTCTGTAGAAACTAGAAGATGCTGCCTGGCAAAATGCAATCGCTAATGACTGCTGCACACTTTTAGTTTCAGGTGAATAGCTTGGGGTATGAAGCAGCATATGAACGCAGGAACATGCTCTGCACATTGCAGATGGATATTGTGTGATGGCCTCACTTACAAAAGCTCCAATACCTTCAATAATAGATAGTGGAGGAACAGGTAGGGCAGGAGGTGATGGTACACGTCTTGACAAGAAATCAGCCAGCTCATATTCAGTGGACAGTCTGACAACTTCCTTAATGCAGTCAAAAACTGATAAATCCTCTGATTCTTCCCAGGCATGCCAGTCTGCTATGAGATGAGCCCAAAATAATAACAGTTCTGACACTTTCAGTTCTAGAATTGAGTTGATTTCAGTAACAGATAACATGATGGACCGGAGTAATGTTGATGCATGATCTATGCATGAGGGAGGCGCAGAAGTTTCACTTTCCTGAACCAACAGGGGGGAAGGGCCAAGTGTCAGGGCAGTGCTCCTATATTAAAACAGTTGCCATACTGTTCTAAGTTTAACCAACAAAATAAAAAACTGTGTAGAATGTACAGGAAGGATTAGAGTAAAACATTCTACAATAAGGTCCTCCCAGAAATGACTTATACAGACAGAACGCATAAGAAAGGGCTTTTATTTTGCTAATGAAATAAAGTGCCGCATGCAAAGGGTCCTTTTGATGGGCTAGCCCACCTCGATACCAAACACCTAGTACATTGGGAAGAAACTATACTCTGTTTATTGAAATTGACTTGAAATGATAAAACTAGCAAGCAAAATCAAATTTTCCAGGGGAACAACACACATAACGGTCTTATAAGAACATATTAAGGTAACTGGAAACTAACCAACGGATATTTTGGTTTGAGCCAAGCCTCTTGCAAAAGAACTGAGAAAGCTCTACCAATTATAGCTCGCCCAGATGCACACTTTTCAGATGTTTCATGCTCATTGGCTTCTTCACTT